AGAAAGGAGCTCTGCTAAGAGGTGTAGGAGGAGTCGGTGTGTTAGAGGAGGTAAGAAGGGAAAAAGAAACGCCAGGAAATTTATGAGCTTTGGAGCAAGAGAGAAATAGTGGTTTCTCTGTCATCTCCACTGCACAGGCAAGTAATGCGATTTATTGGTAATTGCTATTTAGTGTCAATGACTAGGGAATGGAACTGACAACCTCTTGGTTCCTGGGTCGACGCTCAACTGCTGAGCCACACCAGCCAGGCAAAATTTCACAGTTTTGAAGTCAATGACACACAAGTAACTTACGTAATGTGCATTTAATAGAAACTCTTAAGCTTTTTCTTTTTTGTACCTATGTACAGGGTACTTTTATGAGAAAGGTACTAAAAAAATTTGCAGAATAATAGCTATAACCTAAGTAAAATTATGCTATAATTATTATTCTTTCTGTACAAGCAAATAAATTTATCACAGATAAAAATCTGAATATGCTGCTTTCATATACAGGGAACTGCACATTCTCTGGCATTCTCTACTGCTGTAAGTTTCAGGTATCCACTTGTATATCTATGTCCAAATGACCATCAATAGGAGAAAGGTGGACAAACAGGTCAAGAAGAAGAAAAGTCAAAATGGGATCCTAGCCAACTAGAAATTGAACTGACTTCGAGGTCCCTGAAGCACAGAGACCACCGGATGGTATTTAAACTTGTGGAGAGAGAAAGGAAGTAGCTGCTGGGAAGGGTCTCTGGGTCAGACTGATGCTTCGAATGGGCTCACTCTGAGCAGATCTAACAGGCTAAGTCAGGAATTTCAAAGCCAAACTAGAATGCAAGTTTTGGGAAAGATTTTAGCTGTATGGATGTTGTCTGTAACTGCAGTGCTTGTAAACCTAGCATGTAGCCCTTAATCAAGCAGCTAACTTTTCAACCATAATTGGAAGCTTTTAGAACAGTCTTTCTCAACCGTGGCTGCACATTAGAATCACCTGGGAATCTTTTTAAAATCCTGATTTCTGGGCCTCATCATTAGTAACAAAGAAACAGAATTTCCAGAGGATGAGGCCCAGAAATCAGGATTTTAAAAAGATTCCCAGGTGATTCTAATGTGCAGCCAAGGTTGAGAACCACTGGTCTAGAAAGATAAGCAAAACACTTCTGACTCAGGCCCTGACTCAGTGCCATCTCTCTTATCCCTGAGCAATCTTCCTACCAATGCTATCCTTTCTCAAGTACCTTCTAGAACAGTGGTCGGCAAACTGCGGCTCGCATTTTGTGGAAGAGCTACACTCAAGGGGCCAAAGAGCCGCATGTGGCTCTCGAGCCGCAGTTTGCCGACCACTGTTCTAGAACAAAGAGAAGATAATTCCTCCTCCCAGTACATCCTGTAGCAAGGGGCAATTTTAATGGTAGCAGCCTTTAATCATAGCCCCAATTCCTACTTGTCTTTTTCTCCCCTTCCCTACTTCAGCCATTTTTGGTCATTTGAGATATATTTTGCAGGAAGATCAACTACAATTCAAGGTTTGAGGAAGTGGTATAGTACAACATCTGACAGAGGGAGGTGGCAAGACAATGTTAATGGTTAACCATGGGTACAGATGGATGTACCACAATCTCATACATTGTAAGGAGGTAGTTTGTTGTTGTGGGCTACAGAGTCAGGTTGCTTGGGTTCAAATACAGGTTCTGCTAAGGTGGCATGACTCTGGGCAAGTCACTTAACCTTTCCATGCCCCTGTATCCTCATCTATAAAATGGAATTGTTAGTGTTCACTTTAGAGCGATTTTCAACTAGTATGCCGCAAGATTTTTTAAAACATGCAATAGCTGACTATTTAGTCAGAGACACTGACCTTTTTTCCCCTTAGATTGTCAAATTTATTTTATTTTTTTAATATATTTTATTGATTTTTTTTTACAGAGAGGAAGGGAGAGGGATAGAGAGTTAGAAACATCGATGAGAGAGAAACACTGATCAGCTGCCTCCTGCACACCCCCAACTGGGAAGGTGCCTGCAACCAAGGTACATGCCCTTGACTGGGATCGAATCTGGGACCCCCCAGTTTGCAGGCTGACGCTCTATCCACTGAGCCAAACTGGTTAGGGCTAGATTGTCAAATTTAAATGACACTAGCCAACACAACAGCCATCCAGTGTGAATGGATCAAAGTTATATCTATTTTCTTTGCCAGATTAGCAAAAAATATATTTCTGTTGTGCTGCAGAATTTTAATAATTAGTTCATGTGAGCCATGAGATGAAAAAGGTTGAAAATAGCTGCCTTAGAGGGTTGTTGTGAGAATCAAATGGTATGACACAAACTTGGAAAGAATGCAAGCCCTAAACAGCAAGTACTGTTAGCTGTTATTAGTACTATGTATACATTTTAAAAGGATGAGGAACTTCTATATGCACTGACTTGGAATAAAATCAATGACACCGTGTTTTAAGAAAATGCTGCTGAATAACATGTGTAGTATGGGTCTGTTTGGGGGGAAAAAGAAGAAATGCATGATACATATTTACTGGTGCATCCAAAGAAGCTTAAAAGGCACACACACAAAATGCTGAATCACCATTGCCTCTGGGGGGCCAGGAAGGGCTTACATTTACATACAGGTCTTTGCTTGAATTAACATGTACTATTTTTAAAACGAAGCATTCTACAATGGCCTTTCTTAACCTTCAAATTGAACCTCTCTCATGTCCTGTCTTAGAAATAAGGAAACGGAAGCCCAGCTAGGAAGAGGCAGAGCCCTTGAAGTACAATCTCTCCTACATGTCTCATTTCAGATTCCCTTATCCTCTTCACAGCCCTAGGCACCTCGTTTGCCGGCCACAGGATCCAAACCTTCTGAAACTGGTGGGGTTCCCCCCCTTTCTGTTTTGTCCCGCTACTCCTTTTCTTGTGCCCAAGTGGCTTACACATTTCGTGTTTTAGCAGCTTCCTTCCCACCTCTCCTAACTTTCTCACCATTTGCCTGTTTGCCTTTCTCCACCCCCACCCCCACCCCACAGGTGCCCTTGCCCTGGAAAGCCCAATGGAGTGCCACCAGCCCCACACTTTACGGTTTGGGGCAGGTACAAGGGCCCACCTACACAACTGCAGGGAGGAGTATGCCTTCAAGCTGCTTTTGTCTTGCAAAGGGCCCAAATGAGCTTTTAAACAATGCTTTCTCATCGCAGCCAAGAAACAGTGGTATGCTTTGGCAGGCACTTTTCCCTCCTCTAGGTCTTTCCTTACATAGGTGTTTATTTTTGCTTTGGCTTTCTCCTGGAAGTTACAGAGCTATTTTGTGCGTCCCCACCCCTAACGTGCTCTTCCACGCTGACCCTGCAGTGGTTCTCAACCTTCCTAATGCCGGGACCCTTTAATACAGTTCCTCATGTGGTGGTGACCCCCAACCATAAAATTATTTTCGGTGCTTCTTCATATCTGTAATTTTGCTACTGTTATGAATCGTAATGTAAATATCTGATATGCAGGATGTATTTTCATTGTTACAAATTGAACATAATTAAAGCATAGTGATTAATCACAAAAACAATATGTAATTATATATGTGTTTTCCGATGGTCTTAGGAGACCCCTGTGAAAGGGTCGTTCGACCCCCAAGGGGGTCGCGACCCACAGGTTGAGAACCGCTGTAATGTGTTAATTTTTTGTTTTAGCACCCATCAGTTTCACTTCGGATTCCTCACTCTCACACCGTAGCCGTCTATCCCCATTTATACCCATTGTCTATTTCAGCCCATGGAGAAACGGTTCTATGTGGAAAGTGGGTGCTGGGGGGGGGGGGGGAATTCCAGCTTCTAACCAGAGCATCTTCCAGGCCACCTCTCGCACCGGAACCGGAGTGCCGGGAACCCAGCCCGCCCGGGGTATCCGGGCCACCAGAACAGGGTCAGCATCAGAGCGCTCAGGCGTCGGGAGAGCTGATTGGCTCATCGGGAACCAATCAGCGGGCGAGGCTGTGCACGGGCGAGGGAGGGCCCAGATTACAGAGCGGACCCGGTTAAAGCTGAAGGGGCAGGTGTGCCAAGGCGCCAGGATTTCACGTGCAATTTCTGCAACCACCAGGTCACCGCTAACCCCACGACTCAGTGCTCTTCAATTCCACCCCCGGAGCTTCGCGGTTCCATAACGCTAAACAGGGGGAGAAACAGTACTTCTCCCACCATTCATAAAATGGCCATTAATACAGTCAATGAGGGAGCAGCCCAAGACGGGGGCAGAGGCCATTAACGCCCTCCCGCGCTCCTAGCCCTCTTCCACTCCGGGGAGTCAACAAAACTCAACCGGTTCTTGAAATAGCAAATCACGCAAACGCTCGTTTAATCGCCAGCGCTGATGACCAAAATGCTGTCATTAAACAGCTGGAATAAGTTTTCCCCTCCCGAAGGGCTGGAGGGAATTGTACCGGCATTTAACGAACGCGCAGGGTTTTACTACCTGCTAACCACCGAGAAGCGAATAAGCTATGAGGCTGAAGTCAGGAAACGGAGACCTTCGGAAACGTGCAACCTCGGAAGCAAACGCGGCCGCCTCCCGGGCTCGGACACCACCCCCACCCCCACCCCTGGCGCGGGCACCGCTCCTCCAGGCTGTACCCCACACACTTCACCTGAGGCACAAAGATCTGGGGTGGAGAACACAGATACCCGATTTCCCTGCTGTGTTTCAAACTTCAGCAGAACTGTTCTACGCATTCCCAAGTGCCACAGCCCCCGAAATCACAGATCCGCCCAACCTTCGCTTTCCCACGGTCCAGCGCTTCACCTACCCATCTACCACCCACACCCGGGCTGGAGACGCCGCGTCCTTGGGGATGGGGGAAGGGGGCGTGGAGAAGACAGGAAGGGTCCGGTACCCGCCTAGGTACCCGGCGAGGCCTGACGCCGGCAGCCAGAGCACCCTGGGGGCTGAGGAACAAGAAGAGAGGAGGTTCGGAACCGTGCGGGCCAGGGCCCTGCGGAGAGCGGGGGACCCGCCGGTGTCGCGGCACTCACTCTGCGTATCCAGTAGCCCAGGGCAGCCGCCGGGTCTCCTTGAGGATGAGGATGGGGCGGGCGATGTGGTCGGCGCTGCACTCCACCTCGTCCTGAGACAGCCCCAGGAACTCGGGCCGCCCGTACGGGAAGCGCAGGGGCAGGTCCGAGCC